GATCAGACAATTTCTGACATTCATAAGTGAGGCAATTCTAATCTAAACTACTGTATTATATTTGTATTGGTAAATTGAAAGCATTTTGCAAACCCAGAAGAGGATAAGTAAGATATTAATCAAGGGGTTATTTTCAAAAAATTTTTATAGAAACATATAAAATTTAGCTTTTGTGGTTAGAGATTTTTGATACTCAGTTTGAGCTATGCCCAACCACATCTCATCCTAGCATTATTCAATATAGGGAACAAAAACCATCCAAAATCCAAGTTAGGATTTTATAGTAAGATTTTAATTTTCAAGTAATGTTTGAATTAGATGGTTCATGGTTTTAATATTTTATATATAGTTTTGGATATTAATACAAGAGTATTTAATTATTTGGGGTTATTAAAATAATTAATTGAGATTATCAAATCAAGGTTTAAGTTTAAGAACAGAGTTTTATTGGGAATTTTTCCATATGTGTATGTCAAAATTATGTATATAGATTTCATCAGTTAGTCACTTGCTTGAGACGTACAAGGGCATTCAAAATGGAATCAGGTAAAATTTAATAGAATACAAATTTCATGAAATATAAGCAAAGCTGAGAGAAGTACATGTTACACCAGTTAAGGATTTAATTTTAGTCCCTTATTTGACTTTTAGCCTAGATAATTGATAAATTGATAATAATAGATATATCCTTTTAGGAATGTTCATGTCGTATTGATCCTTGTGTTTGTATACTTGTAGAGACCGTCCTGGAGTGTTTGTGCTACCTGATTCTTGGAATTGCGCACCAATCTCTCTCTCTGGCTGACTTTGCACTACTTATTTGCAATTACACCTGTTTGGTCAAAATACATGAAGGCCAAAGAAACCGTGATGCTTACTTATGAGGACATAACCTTTGTACACAAGACCCTGGAAAGTCCTGAAGGTGCAGTGCTGTCTAATGCCCCTGGTTCTGTATTAACCCTTTCAACAATTGGAGTGTTGCACAGAGCATTGTGGTGAACATGCAGCTAACAAAAGAAGAAATAAGAACTATGTGGAACCTGACATTGTCTTGTTGTCAGCCATTTTGCTACCCTTTGCTATTTTATGGAACAAAATGTATGGTGTCCGAACTGATTTATTTATACTCCTTGAAGGACTTCTATTTTTTATGAACTATATTGAACTATTTTGTTATTTATATTTTTTGTAGAGTTACACAGAGAGGGATGGAGTGTTAGCTGGCCCAGGGAGGGATGTAGTATGTGTTGTTGATGTATGTTGAGTGTGCAAAGGATGGATTCCCATGTTGTGAGGAATTGGATGTGGATATGACTTGGTTTGACTGGACCTTTGGAATAGGGAAATGGTTAGGAGATATTGGACGAATGGTCCTGGTTGCAATTAATGTAATAATTGTGAGTTTGATGATAATATACTTGATGATAATATGCAAATGGGCTTTTCCCATCATTATCAAGAAGTGTTTCCCATCTCCTCCCAATACCCAAGCTATGTATTCACCGGTGCGGCTATTAGAAGTCACAGGTGGTGTCAACGTGACGGATGACATGTCTATACTGTTGTATTTTTTCTCAAATATGAGTTTTTGTCACTGTTTTCTTTTGATCTGGCCCCAGATCACTGGGTGGACTGGTAATCTTAAACCCTGGTCCACGGAGGAGGGATGGGTATTATACCCACTTTGACTATAGGCATTCACCATTTGGAAAAAAAGGTCAGAAAGTGTTGGGAATAATACACTTTGCCTATACTGACCCAAGGCTCCTGCTACAGATGACTGGATGTTCAGTCTGTTTAAAATTGGTTAACTTGGAGCTTGTTAGCTATTTGAAATAATATATTGTGTCTATATACAATGCTCAACGTAAGAACCCCTAGACAGAGTTATGAACTTTCCTGTCTCAGAGCGTTGGTCTTATTTGCTGTTTTCTATTTCTGTATTTCTAACTCCGTAGTAACATATGTATTTTATGAGTGCAAAGTAACTTTTTATTTCAGGTGCGTAGTTAAACTGAAACTATAATGAGTACTCCACAATTACACCTGCAAGCTAGCTGTAAGATAAGATATGTTGAGATAAGATTGATGTTATTATTGGATAATGTTTATAAGACCACCCCTGTTTCCTCTCAAATACAACCTGTTACACAGCCTATTAAATGTTAGGAGTACCGGGCTTAGCACTGTATAATAACTAAGTAATTGATGCCCTTGCCTGTTCCCTTGCCAAAAAGGTTTCAATGGGACATCCCAGGCCCTGGAGGAACTTCTAATGGATACCCAGCTTAACAAGAAAGCGATCCTTGAAAATTTGTTAATTAAACATGAATTAGGGTGTGAGGCAGTAAAGGGCATGTGTTGCTTTAATCTTTAGGATCAATGGACAATGATCCATGAGCATATCCAGATTCTTCACGATCTAGTGAAGGGAATAAAACAAGATACAGGGTTCTTTGGGGATTGGACCTTTGGTCTTGGTAGATGGCTCAGTATGTTAATTAAGAAAATATTGTATTTCTTACTTATCACAGTATTTATAATAATGATGTTTTTTCTGACATTTAAGTTCTTCTCCTGTCTTCTGTTATCCTTGTGTAAATCAAAACCTTGTGTTGGTCGTACTTTAATTTATATGCCAGCTTCCTCAACCTCTGACAGCTACAGAACTGTATAACTGATGAAGGACCATTCCTCCTGTGACCCCTGGCTTGCCCTGTCTAAGGGAATCGTGGCGAAGGCATTAATAAAAGACCCACAGGTTTTGACTAGCATACCTGGAAATACCTCAGACACCTGGGTGAGCCATGGGGTCAAAAAGAGGGAAATTGTAATGGAATTATTGATGGAAGATACCTTGACCCCAGGCTCAAGCTTTTAAGTTGACCAGATGTCCAGTCTTTACTATGTTCTGCTTTTAATCTTTAGTCTAGTTTCGAGTGTCTGACAAATAAGCACAAATAAGCATAAAATCATGACTTGTGACATTTTGTGGTTTCTGAGGAGAGGATTGCAGCTTCCCCCATTAACCCCCCTCTGATGTCCTAATGTTTTTATATATGTAACCATTGAAATATGATTAGTACTGTAATTTCCCTTTTATGGTAGTGTGACTTCACCCATCCGTTTTTTGGCACGCTAATCACAAAGCTGTCTTTACAAAGTACTATATAATCTGTAAGCTTACACAATAAAATAAGGAAGTAATCTTTGAATCAAAAACTGTCTGGTCTGATTACTTTCTCCGAGCAGCTCGTAATTTAAAGTGTCAATTTGGTTTCCCCCTGAACATATCTCCGGGTAAATTAATATCCTTAACACGGTTGGTCAAAAGAGACTTCCATAAACACTAAAACCCCATGGCGATTCGATTATGTTTATGGGATCTGAGCGCTATTTGGATATATTGAGCGCTCAGATCCAAGCCATCCATGGATATGTCAAATGTGGTGGTTCAGTTCTGTGGAATATAAGTTATATATTTTAAGGTGTTTTGTTGCAGTTGTAACTTAGAGATATTTTTTGTACCTGGAGATAATTAAGTTTACTACGGTCACTTAAGCCAATTATTTCCAGGATAGAAGAAAGGGATTTTACTGTGTATGTGGGAGTGTTACTGTGTTAATTATTGTTCCCATTGGTTTGTGTCCCTTTTGTCCCTGTGTTCCATCAGGTCCATGGGGTGTGTCTCTGGCCTGAATGTGTATCAAAGAAATGCCTTCATGCTCAATCTTGCACCTTAATGAAGTTTCAGCTCATGTTTCGGTGATTGGAGAGCTACACTCTGGGGATTACTATAATCAGTATACTCCCCACGGTATAAGAGCTTGTTCCTGTTCCTGGTCTCTAGATTTAAGAGATGTCTACCTACGGGAAGTTGGATCCTGGTCTTGGGTCCAGAGTAGGTGCAAGACGGCGAGACCCCAACCAAGCTGCGGCGGTATGTTGGGTTTTCGGTGGTTATGGTGTCTGGTGGAGTGCTTGGGACACCAACAGCTGGCTTATTTTTTAAAGAGAAAATGTCTCTCTACTATGTACGACCTCTTACAACACGCACAAAAGAGATACCTGCCACTATTTACAGATGTAAACACATACAATTGTTCTCCTGAACATGGACCACTATGTTTACAGATGTAAATATAGACATAAATATAGTCAGAGATATGAAAACAAACCCACTATGTTGCCAAAACACATATTATAATTAAGAACTACTACAGGGTGTTATACAGGGCCAGACTGGGACAAAATTTCAGCCTGGGCAATTACAGGCAGAGCAGCCCACTGTTAGGGGCGGGGCCAGAAAGGGGGTATGTCATGTCACCACCATTGACATGCACACTTCCTCCCCCCAGCAAATAAGTATGTTAATGTGACGCTCCTCCAGAGCATCCACTGCTCTTGGATGAAGTAAATGCCATGGTTTTTTTGGGGGGGGTGGTGGGGAGTTTGTGCAGCGTAAGCATGTGCTGCGTTTTCTGGCAATTTGTCTCTGGTGTCCTCAATAGTGTGATACCAGAGATCAAAACAGAAACAGGGCTGTTGAAGAGTGTTGTGCATGTGGGGGATGTTCCCTGTGATGTTGTATATGTTTGCAAGTTGCATGTGTGTAGAGCAGATTATTTGTGTTGTATTGTGTGTGTAAAGAGGTCTGTTTGTGGTGTACTGCATGTGGCTAGGGGCTGTAGTGTGTGTGTCTATGGGTTGTAAACTATGTGTGTTTGAGTGTGTGTATTTATATAGGGCCTGTGGAGTGTGTGCATGTAGTGTGTGCATGTAAGGAGCTGTACTGTGTGTTTGTGAGTGAATCTAGGGGCTCTAGTGTGTGTATGCATATAGGAGCTGTAGGGTACATGTGTATAGGTGCAGTAATGTATACATAGGTGTTGTAGTGTACAGGAGGTGCAGAATATGTATTTATAGGGGATATAAATTAGTGTGTGTGTGTGCATGCAGGAGGTGTAATGTGTGTGTTTATAGGGGTATAATGTATGCGAGTGCAGGGAGTGTAGTGTAGGTTTATGGGGTATAGAGTGTGTATGTGAGTGCCAGGGGTATAGAGTGTGTGTTGTGTGTTAATGCAGGGGCTGTCAGGGCCGGACGGGGGAAAAAATTCGGCACAAGTATTTTTTATTCACAACGGCCCACTGAAAAGGGGGCGGGGCCAGATAGGGTGTGTTTTGTCATCCCCAATGACAATCACGCCCCATCTCAAAGTGAGCATGTTGGTTCAATGCTCTTCCAGGGTATGAGAAAAGGGCCCTGTATTTGTTCTGCACAGTGCAAGCAAATTTAATAACATGTGTAACGGCTACCCAGGGTAGTGAGGGGTATCTTCCATTGGCGACGTCCTTCCTCCGGGCAAGATGCTGGGCTGTAGGAGAGAGGTGAAGTCCCATCCACTGGATCCCTGGAGCAGTAGAGAGGCAGAGCTCTGAAAAGAGCTAGTGATTAAGCTGCAAATTCCCTTTCAACAATGAGACACAGCTACATTTGTGAAGAAGAACTGTCTAAAACTTTATTTTACTTGGGACTAGACCATATGGTCATTAACTTTGCTGTGAAAACGCAATAAAATTACAAACAGTCAAATCATAGCAGGCAACATACAGTGACTTATTATAACACAATGGCATATTTTTAAAGAGGTGGGAGAGACAATAATTAACAGAAAGTATCTCACGTGCCTGCAGAATTAGCAATATGCAAATCTACCCGAATATGCAAATGAACCAGTATTGCTATTCAGATAGTGCAAATAGTCTGAGTTCATATATATATATATATATATATATATATATATATATACACAGCCATTATACTGGTTAACTGGGGTGTTTTTGTTACACATTTTGTTACAACATGCTTGTGTTATGTTTGCTTGAAACTTGTCTCAGGGGTTTCCATAATTGGCATACTCACTGTATCCCAGTTATGGAGACACTATGCGTGCATAGGGGATCCAGAGTGTGTAAGTCAGAAATGTAGTGTGTGTAGGTGGCTCAGCGTCTGTGTCTGTGTATAGGGGATCTAGTGTGTGTTTGAAGGACTCAGAAGTGCGTATAGGAGATCTAGTGAGTGTGTGTGTGAGTGGTACAGCGTGTTTGGGGACTGCTGTGTGTGTGAGGGGTGTAGTGTGCATCTGTGAGGAGTATAGTTTTTGTGGGAGGGTGCTGTGTGTGGGGAGTGCAGTATGTGTGTAAGGGCGCTGTGTGTGTGGGCGCTGTGTCTGTGGGCACTGTGTATTAGGGTGCTGTGCGAGGGTGATGTGTGTGTTAGGGTGCTCTGTGAGGGTTCTGTGTGAGTGAGGGTGATGTGTGTGTTAGGGTGCTGTGTGAGTGTTAGGGTGCTGTGTGTGTTAGGGTGCTGTGTGAGTAAGGGTGCTGTGTGAGTATGCTAGGGTGCTGGGTGAGGGTGATGTGTGTGTCTGCAAGGATTGTGTATTGGGTGGAGGCAGGTAAATGCCAATATTGATGTATTTTTTTAAATATTTTTTATTATAAAAATAAATATATTATACACCCCTTCCCTGCTTACCTGTAGCCTGGAAGGGGGGAGGGGGGTGGGGGGGGTCATGCTGCTGACATCCATCCCTGGTGGTCCTCGTGGTAAGTGAACTCTAGCCTGTGGCACCGGTTCGGATCTCGCGAGAGAAACCCGGCGGAGCTGCAAGTTAGAGCTCTGCCGGGTCCTCCTCTCCAGGCTGGCTGTCTCCCTCCCTCTCTCCCTGCCAGCGACCGCGTTTAACAGCATGTGGGCCGTGAGGGAGATCTTTGATCTCCCCACCGGCCATTCATGGAACACAGCGGGGCTGGTGCTCGGATAGCGCCGGTTCTGCATGGACCAGCTGGATCTCCTTGACCTCGGCCCAGGCCATCCCGGCCCTGGCGCTATACATTTATTATCTAAAGTTGCATATCAAATAATAATAAAATGTAGATACCACACCACTAGAAAGTGTCATCATTAGTTAATTCTTCATAAAGGAAAATGGAGGGAAAAGTGAATAAAATTTTTTGTAAATTACTGTTACATCTACAATTATAAATAAGATGTATTAAAATGCATGAAATTTTTTTAGAGATGCCAATTTTCTAAAAAATAAAACATAATTTTAAAAATGGTATACAATCAAATTTAAAAATTACACAATTCAAAATCTAAATTTAGACCATGGGGGGCTAGTGTATTAAAATTAAAAATAAATCTAATTTCTTCAACCCCAAATTTCTTCATAAAAAGTGGGATGTTTTGGGGATTGAGGGTGATAATTGCGTTTCATCGCCCTTTTTAATATTCCAGACGTGTTCAGATATTCTAGTGTGTAAGCATCTATTTGTTCTCCTAATGTATAACATGTCACAAGGACATTTTAGCATATAAATGATATTTTTGGAAAAACAAGTTAATTCATTAATTCATTAATATTCTTCACATTTCTTTTTTTTATTATTGGTCTCTCTACATGATAGGCAACCTCCACATCCATAAAAGCCTTTATTGCTCTTCAGAAAATTATTTAATTTTGATGGATCTTTATAATTACTGTTCACTAGTATATTCTTACCACCAATACCCAGAATTTTGCACATCCCCTTTGCACAATTCTGAGTATTGATGGTAATATATTTTTGAGAATGGGGTCATCATGTAGAAGATGCCAATGTTTTTAATGGCATATTGCACTTTTCTATTGTTAGCGGAGAAATTGCAAATGAACGGGGCTTTTATTTTATTTGCTTACTCATTTTTTTATTTTTTTTTATCGGTAAGTAACTCTTTCCTTTCTAGTTTTTTTTATTCCCTCTATACTCTTTTGAAGGTCCTTTTCTTTATAGCCCTTTTCGATAAACTGTTCTTTGAT